TCTTTATTCCTAGAACTGCCATGAGCTTGAAAAAATGGATCTGGAAGAGTGTGTCCAGGTAAAAAAYGCCATCTTTGCATTGGGAATGAAAATGGGTGGAAAATTAGGAAATTTTCTCCAAATTAGAATTTAATGTAGAACCCTTAGCAGTGAAAGTGGCTGGATTTGGAGAGGAAAATACTGGAAATGAGGTTTTATCCTTGGTTTGGATTCCATGGAAATGATGCTTGAAATAATAAATATTTAACAGTAAAAGATACCAGGTCAAATAATGGATTTGAGAGGAAAAAAAATCCCAGATTTGGGAGAGAAAATCCCAGAGAAAAAGCTTGTGTTGCTGAAAATAACGGGAATTTCACCAATTTTGGAAAACTGTGAGCAAATTGTGGAACAGCAGCGATTTTAGGGGATTGAAATCAAACTGGGCTGCAGAATTTATAGGAGAAAAAGGTGGAATTGACTCAAAATTCCATGAAAAATYCCCAAACCTGAGGATTGGAAATTGAGCCCAAGATGGGAGGTAATGGGATTGTGCTTCCTGGAACAGCTTGATCCCATAAATTGTCCAGAAATTCAGGAATCCCCAAATTTTTTTGAAAACCCCCACATTTTTTTGAAAAACACCCAAATTCTTTTTAGAAATCCCCTATTTTTTTWAAAAAAAMCCCWGAATTTTCAGGAAAAAGCCCCAAATTTTTAGGAAAACTACTGGAAAAATCCCCAAATTTTTTGGAAAACCACTCAAAAGTTCTCCAGATTTTTAGGAAATTGGAAAATGTCAGAGGGAAGGGACTGGAAATTAACCCTAAAGAGAATAAATTAATCCTAAAAAGGGAGAAACAAAACTGGGCCATGGCACAAATCCATCCCAGGCAGCTCCCTGGGGGTTTTGGGATTAGGAACCATATGTGGGATTTGTTCCTAAAGAAAACCAGGAACAACCCCAAACATCCTATGTGCCCAGCACTGATATGAAAGGTGTTTTTCCTTCTTTTCCAGAAGAAAATAATAAATCTATTTCATTTTCTAAAAATTGTTTAAAAAAAAATTATATTAAAAATCATATTTAAAATATATTTTTAAATATTTAAGTATTTAAAATATATTTAAAATATATTTAAAATATATTTAAAATATTTAAATATTATAAAAATATTTCAAATAAATATGTTTTTAGAATAAATTTATATTTATAAATACCAATATATTTTCCAGATAACAGACAGCACGCTAATCCAGCTTTCCATACACTGTCCACGGCTTCAGGTCCTGGTGAGTATTCCAAAGGACACTTCCAGCATTTTTTTTTTTCTTTAAACAAAGGGATTTTAAACATTCCCTGATTTGTGGAAGAATTCTGCTGGAAACYTGACCCTGAAGAGCTCCTGTCCCTGCTGCTCACAGGAATTTTACACCTCAGAAAGGGTTTGGGGCATTTTCCCTGGAGCAGAATTCCCAGTGGAATCTTTGTGCCCAGGAGCTGTCAGTCCATTTGGGGGAGAGGAATGTGGGGCAGCTGAGAGCTGGAATGTTCTGTGCCTCTGGAAAGTTCCTTTGGGGCTGAATTTCTGGGAAGGTTTGGGAATTTGGGTTCTCCAGTGCAGTCATCCCTCAGGAAAGCAAATTCCAGGCCCTGCTTCCTCCTCAAGGACTTCCCAACTGAATTCCCCCAAAAAATCGTCCCAAAGGTGGGTTCTTGGRCAGCACAGGTGCTCTGGGATTCCCGTGCCACCCTGTGGGTCTCATCCCTCTGGGAATCCTTGGAATCACAGAATGGTTTGGGATGGAAGGGACCCTAAAGATCATCCCAATCCCATTGGCAGGGACCCCTCCCGCTGT